ATATTACTTGCTTCCAATGCAACTAATGACGGCCCAACCCTAATGAAACCCTAATCGTTTTTAATATATAAACAACTTTTCCTTTCCAGAAGGGGGTTACGTTCTTTAGCTCTTGTTTTTCATCACACATTCACAGAACCCTTTAGCATATTGGCTTACGTTTTCTGTGCCTAGAAACTTAAGTGTCCGCTTGGATTATCCTAGGCTAAATTTCTTGTAACACAGGCATAGGGTAGAAATATCAGTTCGGAAAGTGATATCACGATCCAAGTTGGTATCTAGATCTCCACCACAAACCGTAATATTCCCAACACATTTGGTTATTATCTACGTGATATATGTAAATTGTGTTTATGTTTTTCATTATACATACGAGGGTACTTTGGTCTTTTGATAAAAAATTAGAATGAAATTGAATTCTTGCAGTCCTCTAGAATGATGAAACCCATCACACATAAAATCTTAACGATTCCAATGGAATTAAATCCTATTCATTTAGCAACCAAACATGCCATGGAATGGAATCTTGAATTCCAATTCCTTCAGATTTCGTGAACCAAAAAATTAAGAAGAGTTTATAACGTTAATTAACTAATTAAATAAATAAAAAGAAAAACGGACCTTAAGTTGACCGGAATCATTGACCAGAAAATTTAAAGGTAAAGTGACATCTACAATCTGTGAAGCTAATTCATATTCATCTTTTTTCTCTTTTGAATCATTGGTGCTTTTAATTGTTCTACGGTTACCATACACTGCTTCAATAATTACCAAACCTTCCATTTCCAATTGTTTATTTTTTTTTTCCTTCTTTACCACATTTTCTAACAACTTTTGAGCTTTCTTTGCTGCTGCTTTTTCTTCTTGAACCTATACATGTAACGACACACAAAAATACGTATAATATCCTCCAACATAACACTTGCTCAACACATACTTTAAGAGAAGTGTTTTATCTTTCATAATTACCAAACCTTCCATTTCCAATTGTTTATTTTTTTTCCTTCTTTGCCACATTTTCTAACAACTTTTGAGCTTTCTTTGCTGCTGCTTTTTCTTCTTGAACCTATACATGTAACGACACACAAAAATATGTATAATACCCTCCAACATAACACTTGCTCAACACATACTTTAAGAGAAGTGTTTTATCTTTCATAAAATACCTTCCAACAAAAAACCTGGCCAACACATACTTTAAGAGAAGTGTTTTTTTTTTTTTTTTTTTGTAAAATGCACTCCAACATAACACTTGTTAACACATACTTTAAGGGTAAATATGTAATTTTTACATACCTGTGTGCGAGTCTGTTCCGGTGCTTGTTGTTTTTCTCTACTACGATAATAAGGTTTGAAAACAAGAGACTGCATGCATAAAAATAAAAGATTATGGTAAAAAAATACTAACAAATCATAGAAATGTTTAAAATGTTTTGTTCAATTTCATTCATGAAGCAAGTATATCACATCTTACATTATACCATTTTTCGATTAATTGTCGAATGCGTTGATTTAAAAGTAGTAATAAATAATAATACCTTGAGTTTAAAAATAAAGTGATGTTGGAATAAGAAATGCCCCTGAAGCAAATCCAAGATTAAAGTGTCTTGAAAGAAAAATCTGCACACCATAAGAAATAAAAAGCAATTCTTCATATATAGACATTAAAACAACAATATGAAATATCATAAAAATATAAAATTTGCATTTTCTTCTTTGTTTTTCATTGAGGGGTTTTACTATAAAATTCGATTCAGTGTGTCTGGTAGGCTTGTTTCTGAATGTATTTGATCATCTGATAATGTTATCATATCTTATGCATGTGTTAAGTTATGTTCAGAATTGAGAGTGACCGATGTTGTTAACTTTAAAAATTACAATAGCAACTACAATCCATTATAAGTATAAATCAAAAGCATGCACAATATTTTATATTAGGTTTTTTTCTTATATTTTTAGTTTGCCATAATTTTGAACCAAAATTTTCTTGTTTATACGGTTATTTTTTGAAGTTTTAATTTATGCCCCCTATTTTTTGAAGTTTTCATTTCTGCCCCTGTTCATTAAATCAACCTTAAAAAATGGAAATATTCCTACTAACTAAAAGTTAATTAGCGTTTTAAAGAACACTTTTGTTTTAAATGAAGAAATATCAATCTTTGATTAAAATTTCTTTGCATATACACATACGTATTTCGGTATTAACATACCATCGCCTACCTGGTTAGTAGTTACAAAAATATGAATTCGTATTTGGCTATATTTTATATTAATATCATGTTCTTTTATTTTGATGATATGTTTCCAAAATAAACACCTCAATTCCAATTTTGTGAAGAGTTATTTTGGTAACTTGTTTAAAGAAAAGGAAACAAGGTTTGGTCTTAGCTACTTATCACCATATTCCTTAAGGTTGAATATTGAGTTTATGATGTAGCATTATAGTATTCATCTCTCGGATATTCTTACAAATCTTGGAATTAATTTGTCATCAAAGTGCAGTCCTCCCTCCCTCAAACCAAAAACTTGCATGAAGATCAACAAAATGATCACATCAAACCCAATATCTTTCTTCATTCTACTGGTATAATTAATTTCGTGTCACAACTCAATAATCGTCTTTGGTTATGATCATATCATTGACTCATCCTTGTACTAATATATAATTCTGTAGGCAACAATCAGCCTGTTGCTTCCTACCTTGATAATCCAATTTTGGTTTTAAAAATCAAAGCAATTAAAAAGGAAGTCGATTTGATCACCAAGAAATCTCATGAAGAAACATGGTCTGTCATACAACATGCAGCAACGATAATATTGCTTCCAATGAAATCATCTGCAACCAATTTAGCTAAACTTGAAATCGTTTCTTTGAGTAAAACATATCACCTCTCATTCTCTCACATAGAATCTCAACTGTCTCCTTTGTTGTTTCAAGCACTGTTAACGATCCCACATCTGTCACAAATTTCTTATATCACACGAGATGGCTTGCTCTTTGCATTATACTCCGACAACCACAAGCAGATATTTTCTATATATTCAAACACTTCGTTTTCTAAGCCTACAAATTCTAGAAAGGGTTATTCATGGTACACTCAGCCTCTTGATTCGGATACATGGAAGTTGTATGGGGATGTAGTTGTGCAGATTGACAATTCTCTTTGAAACCTATTTTTATAAATTGTGTTATGAACTGGCTTGTAATAACATATAAACAACCAAATGATTCTAATATTGATTGAAATTCAATAATATCCCAAAGATTACAAGAACTAAAGATACATTAGCTAAAATAAACTCCCTTGCCCACTACCCTCTTATACTATCTGACATAACAAACTAAATACCATAAAATGCCCCTAAAGCCCTTGCACTAATATGCTGATTTCCCATCTTACCGGCCCCTTTCTATAAAGTTGTAGGTGAGTAAATGCCTGAAAGAACCACCTTATCCTCAAGGTGGATATGATAGCAAGTTCCCAACCTGAAAGAACTCCCTTATCTTTGACTACTATACTCTAATCTGCATCAACCTGCTCGACTCCAATTTTCTATAACATCACCATTCCATTCCATCAGCACACTCTTTCAGCTTCCTTCCCCAACCGACCATACAAGTGTAACAATAGGGGCGGGCTTCTTTGGTTGTCTTCAACCTGTTTTGGCTGTCTTCATAAGTTCCTAATTTCAGATTCTTGGAGAATGCTTCATAAATCTTGTTGGTTGAACATGTCAATGCATTTCTTGATGGGATTCTTTCTGAAACCTTTCCAAGTCTTGTTCTGTTGAAGCATCTCACCAAATATGTTGAGTGGTAAGTCACCAGAATGCACAACACCCTTCACAAAACCAACCAAGCCACTCGGGCCTTAACTCCTCATAATTGTCCATGATGAATTCGAGTTGTCCTCGGTAAGAGAAGCATGTCGTTAGTTATGCTTTTGTGAAAAGAAACATACTCTTCCTTGGTTACATTTTACCGATGAGATCCCACTCTTTAGTGTTTTTCGTTTTATCCTTCTCTTTCTCTGTTGTTTTCTCTGGTCCCAGGATAAACTAGGTAGCTGAGAGAAACTTGGAATGCTTCTCTAACGGATCCTTAATCCTCCTCTTCTTTGAATACACAACTTCAATTTCAGCTTCCTTCAAAAGATTCTTCAACTGAGCTTCATAATTATACAAATTACGCAACCTCTTTATCTCCTTTGAAACATTCTCTTCTTTATTTTTTTTCCTCACAGTCCATCGATTTGACCTCTTTTTCTTCCCATCCTGCCTCTATACACTTACTTTTTATGGGTTGAATCGTGTTCATGACCATGTCAATTTCATATTTTGCATCATCAATTTCATGTTTTCAAAGATCAACAAGTTAAAAAAAATGTTTGGATATAATAAAAAAAAAAACTTTTAAAACAAATTTTTGTTTAGTCTATATACCACATGACTAAAGTTGTAATTTACCAAATTCAACAGGCACAAGACACCTACCTTAATTTTGGTGGTTGATGTGATTTGTATTGCAGCATGCCCTTCATAACCATCCATAACTACTTATTAAAAGGTGTTTGTTTGTTCATTTAAAAATGATTTTTGAACTTATTGACTTTTTAAAAAATCAATAAGTTAAAAAAAATATTTAGGTATAAAAAAAAGCCTTTTAAAAACAAGTTTTTTTGTTTAGTCTTTGAAAATAATATTTTAAGAAATCACAATTTCTAAGTTCTTGAAACAACTTATGACTTATTATGTTTACAAAGTAAATAAAAAACAAAATTAAACCACACTTTTTAACTTACTGACTTGTTGACTTTTACAACTATAAAAGCTAATTCAAACGCTCTTTTAAAAACTAATTTTCTCACCTTCATAAGCCAATAAGTCATTCCGGATAAAAATCATTAACTTCAAAATGAAATCTCAAACACCCTCTAAGCTTTTTTTTTATGTTAACCATTGGTTTTTTATCACAATGTATAATTTGATTCAATTTTGTACCTCATTCTACTCTATTAATCAAAACTAATAAAGGAAGTTCAAAAGTGTTTGTTATGTAAAAATGGTGCATCTAACAAATTAGGGTTGAGATAAAGCAACCTAACCATTAAGTCCTAAACAAACCAATAGTATGATATGATTCAACAAATAAATCATTGAACCCATTACATCAAAAACACGAAGCACCATAGATCACTTGTAGTAACCATATTGCAAATATATGAAACAAACTTGTCCCTACAAAGTAGGAGGCCAAGCAAACAACTTATCTCCGGCTCCTAGATTTGAAACAAACTAAAAGGCCTGCAAACCAAGGCAAGTTTGTGCAATAACCAACAAACACGTTGATGCCAATTCAAAATATTTGCTGCACCAGGCCATGTATCTTCTCCAACGTCAGCAAAAGTTAAAAGATTCCCTAAGTTTCAAACATGAACAAGCATGAAATCAAGACGCGAGAACAAGGTTTATTCATATAGAGTATGTGAATAACTTAATCATATAGGTATAACATAAGAATAACAGGGTTTAATCACATGTGAATAACTTAACTACTTGTGATTAATATATATATATATATATATATATATATATAAAAGTGTGGTGAAATAGGAAGAGTAATCGAAAATATGTGTTTACTTGTTTAAAAAGATTTAGTACCTGTAATAAATACTTATATAGATCCATTCTGATGTGTCTTGACATATGCTTCCAATTGGCCTGTTGCTGCTAATACAAGACCTGCAGCGAAAATATAATTTCAGCCCAATATGGTATCAACATAAAATCATATTCCTAGTTGTTGTGTTTGATTTTGATAGATACCTAAAAACAGGGCTGAAGGCTTCCCAGGCCGGGATTTATATTCGGGATGAAATTGTACCCCGACATAGAATGGATGGGTTGGAAGTTCCAAAATCTGGATGAAATAAAAAAAGAAAACATAAGATCCAAATCCAATTTTATATTTTATATAGAATGAAATAAATTTGAAAAGAAACCTCCATTCGCTGTCCGCTTTCATCCTTCCCAACAAATCTTAAGCCTGTTTTTTCCAAATCCCCAACCACCTCAGGATTGACCTCGTAACGATGCCGATGTCGCTCGTCCACATACTCTGGATTCTGATACCTGCTCAGTAATAAATTTTCTGTAAGTGGCTTTGGCTTCATGCCTTCATGGTGTGTTGTTTATATGTGAATTTGAGAATCAATCTCCTACAGTTTTGCAGTGATACAATCTGAGCTCTGCAGTAAGGTTCTTCGAGAGCCAAGTCTCATCGTGTTTCCCATATGTGTTCTTGAACCCTGAATGTAAATAAATATATGCATAAAAATGCCGGTATTCCTATTCCATATACAAAATAAATTTCCAAAAATACCTCTGGCATGAAAATTACAACAGGATTGGTTGCATGCTCATCAAATTCAGTACTATTTGCCTCTTTCCAGCCCAAGATCTGGAAATGTAATATTTCGACATTACAATAAAGAACAAAAAAATAATTTACTGAATTTAACAAGCTATTTAATCACGGGAATCAGATGGTTTTACAACTAAAAAATAATAATTAATGTTGATGAAAAACCATTGAGAGGTTTAACACCTGACGGATCAAAAGTTAATCCATAAAATATATCTATAGAATAGAGAAACAAAGAAAACAGCTTACAGATCTGGAGATCTCGATAACAGATATCTGCATGCCTAAGCAGATGCCAAGATATGGAACTTTATTCTCACGCGCATACTTGGCAGCCAGTATCATTCCCTTCACACCACGATCTCCAAATCCACCAGGAACCAAAACACATGCTGCACTCTGAACATATTAACAATTACCTTCCTTTCACCCAAATCACCAAGCCAAAATCTCTTTTATAGATACATATAATATGCTGCATCATAACAAATATTCATGAAACTTACCCTCAATGTCTCCCAGGCCTTTGCATGTGCTTCTGGCATCTGCACACACACACATATACATATATGTAAATACTTCAATATGATATATATATTTATATATTATAGCCATACCAGTCTGGCACTTTCATCTTCTAAAATCAGAAGCTGCAATCCATTCAATGGAGGGTTTCAACGAACATGCAATGCATGCATGGAGAAGGGCCTGCACTTGATTTCAAGTTCAAGTTTAGTAAAACTAAATAACACATACTGTAATGTTATTTCAAAACTATAACTCTCTAACTGTACCTTAACAACAGACAGATAGGAGTCTGTTAGGCCAACATATTTCCCAACCATTGCAATCTTCACCTGCAACACGAAAAGGGACAGGGTATTACTCTTAAGTAACTGAAAGGCAGTAGTAAGTAATAAGGAGGAAAATGATACTAACAGAATTGGTGAGGTTGTCAAAAGTTTCTGCCCTGTTAGTCCACTCTTGTAAATTTGGAGGTCTTGCTACACTGAAAAGCAGAGAGACAATAAATATTATCAGATTCCTTCTACACAGATACTACTGACAATAAATATGTGCTCACCAGAGTAGTGCTAGCTGTTTCAGGATTGCCTCATGAGCATTTTGGTTCTGGGAAAATTTAGAGATGATATGAGAAATAGATCTATCTCAATTCTCAAAGGAATACAAACATCCACGCACCCGAAGTAAAAGAGGAACATGCCAAATGTTTGGAACATCATGTATATTAAGAATGTTGGCAGCCTGTTTGTTGACAAAATCAATCAATCAATCAAAAATGAACAGCACAAAGCCAAGGACAGCTATAGAGAGAGTACTATTAACCAGAAACTTACAGGTACATGACAAAACTGTGAGAGTTTCTGCTTTGTGTTTTCCAATAATGGCTGCAAGGTAAACCAATACTTTGATTGCTCAAGTCTTTAACTCTTAACCACCACAACACACACTATTCATAAATCATACCTGAGCTGAACGGCATGCTAAAAAGTGAGGGGTCAGGCCTAAAGCTCGCAGTTCCCGAACACTGTGCTGTGTAGGCTTAGTTTTCTGAAGAATAATTAAAAAAAAAAAAAAAAAAAAAAAAAAAAAACAATCGGATGATCATAAAGTATATTTCTTTCTTCAAACATCAATAGTAGAGTAGCATATTCATTACCTGTTCCCCAACAACACCAAGAACTGGTACAAGGCTAACATGAATGAGGCAGAAATTATCTGGCCCTGAAGAAAGAACAAAAGCAGAATCAATTATGCATTAACTTTTGATGCATTATATGGTAATGGTAAACTTACCTGTAGAGAAAAATAGTTGCCTCAATGCCTCTATGAAGGGCATAGACTCGATGTCACCTACAGAGGGAGGTATTGTTTTATATATAATCACTTAAGTAGTTTTGAGAAAAATAATTTCATCATGAGTAGAGAAGTAAGTAGTGTACCAACTGTCCCTCCTAATTCTATCACACAGACATCTGCCGGGCCCACTTTTCCATCCACGGGAATAGCAGAAACCGACTCAATCCAATCCTTGATAGCATCCGTTATGTGTGGGACTACCTAAAAGAAAGAAGCATAAGTAGTAGTAGTAGTAGTATTGCTATTGCTTTGAAGACAAATACAATTCAATTTATGATTTATGATTTATGATGCAAAAGTACACACTTGCCTGAACAGTCTTTCCAAGATAATCTCCTTTTCGTTCCTTCTCAAGAACAGACTGGCAAAATGAGAGCAAATCACTGAATGAATCTGGTACTAATCACTCTAATACAGAGTATAGAATAATGATACAGCACAAATTTTGGTAAATGGTAATGGTACCTGATAGATCTTTCCAGTGGTTATGTTGTTATCTCTAGTAAGCCTCACGTCTAAGAAGCGTTCATAGTTACCCAAATCCAGGTCGACCTATGTTTATATCATATGGAAAGATTAACATCATCATCATAATCAATATTTTTAAAGCTAGTGATAGCAAGTAGCACCTCTCCACCATCGTCAAGAACAAAAACCTCCCCATGTTCAAAGGGAGACATTGTACCAGCATCTGTGTTCAAGTATGGATCTGCAATCAACTAAACTACTTAAATTCACACACCAACTCCACCTGTAAGCCACTAACGAAACAAAAGTAGGAGGTATGTGGTGTGGTGTGGTGTGGTGTGTATATAAAATTAGCAAACAAACAAGAATGCAATTTCATTAAACACATAGCCTAGTCTGGATAATCTAACAAATTCAACAAAACCACTATTCTGGTTGTCTGATTTATTCAATTAAAGCAAAAGCAACAAACACATACCAATTTTGATGGAGGTTACGCGAAGGCCACACGCCTTGAGAACAACACCGATGCTACTGGCAGTGACGCCCTTACCGAGACCACTTACCACCCCTCCAGTGACCAACACGTACTTCATTTATGCTTTTAACTTCTTTTGGCTTTTGAGAGAGAAATCAGAAGAAAGAATTTCTATTATTCCAAATCTACTCCGCTTCACTTTCAATAATCATATACCAACTTTATTACTTATTACTTCTTCTCAGCTACTAAAATGACTTTTCACAATAAGTCAATAATCTAATCTAATAGATGCTCAGCACCGTTGGGATTGGTCCCTTCCCTGATCACCCTGAAACAAAGGCATTAAATTGTATCAGCATCTATATACCACTTTTCTTCAAAATATCATCTTAATTGATCTAGTTCGCCAGAAACCTTGCAACAGATTGTCATAAACCCACATAGATATTAACACAGAAATCCTACATAAGGTCTGTAACAACAATCAAACAGAAATCATTATCACATACGAAATTTTGGATCTTCTATTGTCAACATAAAGCACACAGATTACACCACATTAATCATACATAAGGTATGTAACAACAAGCACATACAAGGTCTGAAGGTCTGCATGCATACAATCAATAACATCAATCTTGACAGAATTTCAGACAAAAAAACAAATCTTGACAGGAATTGCATACCAGACCAGGAATTCAGTAAGGATTCAGATTAATTGATGTGCTTCAAACACTAATTAGACACTAATCGAACAACTAAGTGCAGCTGCTTCATTGAATCAGACAAGCATACACTTGTACCGAACCAGAAAAAAAACGACTTACCGGGAGATCGGAGAAGACGAGACTATAGCTGGTACGCCGGAGGTCGGAGGTCTGTAGGCGTACAACGGAGAAGGGTCGGTGGTGAAGAAAAAGTGTGGAGGCTGCTTGAACGCGGGGAGCTGTGAACGAGGTATAGGTTTTGGGGTATTAATGTAATATCTCTGCTCTAATAAATAAATAAATAAAACACTACAAAATTAAATAGTTTAAGTCCAAATTTTGATTTTTTTGTTGGTCCTATTGGTTTAGCTTTAACCTTTCTTGCTTGTAAATTTATATTTTCACATTTTAGGGATCATTTTTACAATATATTCCTTTTCTCTTTTTTTTTTAAATAATACTTACTTATTTATTTTAATAATTAAATAATAAAAAAGGTTCCCTCTC